TGGGGCCGGCGGGCCGGGCGGGCAAGAGGGGTCCCCAGGGGAAATCAGGCGAGGCGGGCCATCAGGGCGAGGCGGGCAGCACGGGTCTGCCCGGCCTGGACGGCGTCAAGGGGGCCCGGGGTCCGAGCGGGCTTCCGGGGGAGCGCGGCCTTCGTGGGAAACAGGGCCTGGAGGGCAGTGCCGGCAAGGCCGGAGACCCCGGGCCGGTCGGCTATCCCGGCTTCACCGGTCCGCCCGGCGAGGCCGGGCAACAGGGCCCTCAGGGCAAGGAGGGCGAACTGGGCCCGATGGGGGAGATTGGCCCCCGCGGGCCCGCCGGTCTGATTGGACAGGTCGGGGCCACCGGCGACACAGGACCCCTGGGACCCGTGGGACAGGAGGGCCCTCGAGGCAGGCCAGGACCGAATGGAAAACGCGGCGTGCAAGGAGAACCTGGGCCGCAGGGCGAGATCGGATCGCCTGGAAGGCGAGGTCATTTTGGCCGACGTGGACCTCGAGGGGAACCCGGCGATCTTGGTGTTAAGGTAACCGTAGCAGCGACTTTTGATTAAAATGGCATTCTACTTTGCATGTCAAGTAGGTATTTCAATCTGTTCTCCAAACTGGGTCGTGTTGTCATGAGGACATAGAAGAAAACACCTCGATCTGAGTCCATTGTATGCTGCCAGTCTAGCACCAAATACAACCCGCCAAAGAAGCAAGTGAACTCAGTCCTGATAACTCACCTATCCGACATTCTCGTAACGCTCATTTACAATCACAATTTCCTACTTGCATTTCAATGTGCAAGTGGAAATGTATGCATGAAAAAATGTTTCGAAATTATATGTGATGATACGACTATGCTTTACATATCCAATGTGTTTCAATAAGTTTCGTTTCCTAGAAGGCAATTTCATCCAGTCTGGACGACATTTTCGAAACCTATTAATTCTGGAAATGACTAAATGATTGTAGAGTACGAAAGGAAGCAAGGAATGTCTCGAGATCTAGTTATTTCCCAATACTATATAGCAATCCTGTCTCCATAAGAATAGTATATGCGAAGAAAAGTTTGGTTTCGAGCAACCCCTTGGTTTTTTATTGCTGATATCAGTTCTATTTGGAGGGAAAAATTGTGATGAACAGATTCAAAGGTCAGTCCCACCAGAAGGAGACGGCATATTTCAATTGGCCAGCTATCAGTTGGCTTCACTCAAACATTCATCTAAACGAATAACATCAGAGCATTGTAGCACTCTTACAACCATATCAACTAAATGCTGTATCCACATCCTATATTAATGCTTTTTGATAAGGTAAACGTGATTTTGGAGAAAAACTGGGTTTCGAAGAATCTCCTAATTGATTGTTGTTAAAGTACCTTTTATTTCGTTTGAATGGGCGAGTAGAAGGGACTCGTAAGTTGGTTGGCTGATGGACGGTTGCCTTGCACCTGTGCTAGTAGATTTGTGCGAATAGATCCTCGGTGCACCATCCTGCGACCCCAATGAATCATTGCCGAGCTTCCGTCCATCATGTGACGGACATCGCCAGAGAAGGACGCCATGTTTAACGATAATTTGCCCAAAACAAGAAAGCAGGAAACGTGGACGGATTCAATTTAGTCCACTTAGGGATCTTATGTTTTGGTTGGATATCATATACTTTGCCCGAATGTTTGCTAAATAGTTAAGTTTAGCGATAGCGGATAATATGTGAAGCGTGAAACGGATGCAATTGTGACCGAACAGTGGCATCCTCTTCCAAAGCAGCTATACCTTGATCATACAATATTACCGAGTGTGGTAACATTCAATTGAATGCGTATTTTGTGAATGCATTGCTCTTCAAATAAGTGGGATTTGAGATTCAAAACCAGATTCGAGCATAATCAGGGCCAATTATGATACTGACCATCCTAGCGATGTACTGTACAAATTTTACCCTTAATGGTAAACGGTACGAGCATACACGAGATTTATAAATATGATATAGTGTTTGTCACCAATTTTAGCAAATAATTACATGGCTCAATTTGAGGAAGGCTTAATTCAGAAGGCACTTTTAGTTCACAAATTATTAGTTCGCTTTATGGACGACTACTTTGCTATTTGGCAACATGAAAAGGAAAACTTGGAGAACCGAGTCTCCCTGACAACACGACCAAGTTGCAAATGTAAAGGTCTTTGAAAGTATCACGGAATCGCCTTATTTTGGTCAGTGGTTCAACTAGATTTCTTTCTAAAGATAATCTTCTCTTTTTTCACTCCAGGGTCCCAACGGTCAAATAGGTCTACCTGGTCCAAACGGTGCCAACGGTGAACCCGGAAAGAGAGGCGCATCTGGTGAGGCGGGGCAAAATGGCAAAAACGGTCGACCCGGAAAAGACGGTGAAGTTGGCGCAAAGGGTGAGAAGGGGTCCCGCGGACCCCCTGGCCTTCAGGGGCCGCCCGGGCTGGATGGACCCCCGGGGTATCAAGGAGTCGAGGGTCCTCATGGCTATAATGGGGCCGCTGGTGATACGGGATCAATTGGGCCTATCGGAGATCGAGGCTTTCCGGGAGATCCAGGAGACCCCGGACCAATGGGCGAGATAGGACAGCCAGGAGAGATGAGTCCCACCGGACCTCAAGGGCCGCCTGGACCTCCTGGACCCCCTGGTCCACCTGGCTTCGTGACTCCAATCCAGCGGTCTTTGGCGCGTACTAAAGGCGTGATGTATGGTGATCAGGCGAAAGTGATGAAAAAGCTGACCTCGGAGGACATCAAACGACCATTGGGCACCCGGGAGTTGCCGGCCAGGACGTGTGCAGATCTGGCCAGTGTCTTTCCTGACAAGCTAAATGGTACAATTTCAGCATTACACTTTGTAGGCTTGTAAAAGAGGTGGGGTTTTAGCCTCTTGATGCATTTTCGTAACTGATGGTTTCTCACTCTGATGAGATCTGGCACAGCGAGACAGACGATAGTCATACAGTCACACCACTTCTCCGACGAAATAAGACTCTAAATGCGATATATTTAATTTATAAATATCATAATTTAATATACCATACATTATAATATATCTCTATTATATCTCTCTGAGGTGTTTATAAATTCTCTACCTACGCGATTATTTCGGAGAGATTCGTTAATTAATTAATTGTTTGCATTAGAAATATCGAATAGATTCCTATGCCTTACGGTTGGCCGACCTTTATGGACCATATGAGTTGTACCTAATGAGTATACAATCAACAAACGCGAAGTAAGTATAGACCTTTTTCGCCTAATATCTGGATCACACGGAGTTAAATGTATGACCGTGCTTCTACAACCCTCCATACAGCAAGGAGAGTTAACCTTAAACTCCGATGGATGTAGTATTGCCACCTG